AAGCAAGCTTATTTCTCTGTATCTCATATGGGTTTCCTAATTATATAGGAATAGGTTCTATCACTGATATGAGACTCAACGGGCTCTTTTACAAATAATCTCTCATTGCTGCGCTATTTTTTTTGGCCGGAATCTTGTTTATCTTGACGAAATAGACAGAATAGCTAGCCCAATGCCAAAATAAATATATTCACGATGTTTCAGTAGCTTTTCAATAGCCTCCCTTGCATTACCAAGTATTAGTGGTTTTGTTGCCGAATAAATAGTATTTTTTGGACTAATTACTAGCCAAAAATATCTTTTAATGATCAAAGTTCTAATTCTTTATATAACGGCAGTCGGAATGATATTAACTCATATTTATTTGTTATCTATGTTACAATGGATATTCTATGGATACGAGATATTTAATGTTTCAAATTCGTATCTTTTGGATTCGGGACCACGAGTTATTTCTTTTGATCTCTATTTTTTATTTTTACCCGTACTAAGTATTAGTATCTATCCCGATTTCGTTCTTTCACCAATTTTGACAGACTCATACTCAACCCTCTCTGTAACTTACTTAAGTTTCTGGGTTTCCTGAGACGAACCCAAGCCTCCGAAAACTCCAATAACATCACAAGAAAAGCATGTCAATTTGGATTGTAACAGAGAATCAAAACCAAGATACGACCAAGCTGGATATATGAGTGAACAAAACCATTTTGAGAGAATAATTTCAGGAAACGCCAACATATGTATGTACATTACAATACATAACCATTCTTTATCCCCTTTTCTCTGTTCTGCGTTTTTCCCTTTTTCGGGCATTCAGTTCAATGGATTAGAAGTTTTACCCAAAGGTATCCAAAGAAACCATAGCCATCAGCAAATATGGCAAACGAAGTCCACAACAGTTTTTACTGATCACTAAAATGGATGAGAAGTTTTACCAAAAGGTATCCAAAGAAATCGTAGCCATCAGCAAATATGGCAAAAGAAGATCACACCAGTTTTTACTTATCAGCAAAATCCACCTCTAAGCAAGAGCTTATTTGACACTCTTGTACATGTTGTCAATCACGCTCTGCAGGAAACAGAGAATTCGTATTAGTAAAGACTAGAGATTTTCCTATACATGATGTCAATTATACTGCATAGAAACACTGCAAGCATAGGCAAGATACACCCAACAACAATGAAGCAAGAGCCTCTGAACCCTTGAAAAAAATCTAGCCGAAGTAAACTGCACAAAGAAAATGCTCTTCCTGATAAAATGCGAAGTTTTGTGCATTAACTTGCCAGAGAAAAGGACGTTGTTTAAAGAAAAATTTCATCAACCACAGACATAGTACAAGAATTGCACAGTTGAACTAAGGGGTCACGAAATGATAGCTTGTACCAATTACATATATGATAAACTAATTATTAGGAAACCATTTAGGAGATAGAGATACTACAATAAGGGATCAAAAGCATCAAACTCTTATTACAGTGGCTAAAGACAAACTGACCTTGTAGTACTTGAGTAACTGGGGTCTCTTCTTCTTGAATGTTGGCGTGATAAGATCTCGTTCCAAGTCGAACGGGACAGGATCGAGGTGCACAGCTTTGATGAACTCGAACCCCTTCAACTGCCAAAGAACGAAAAAGGGTAAGTCAGACAAATGATGATGAACTTCAAACTGAAAAACATTTACTTTGTTGTACTGTTACAACTGATCAGGATAAGGGTCCAAAAAAGAAAGTAATGAGCAAGAAAAAGAAGGAACCTTCTTTTCTTTTCCAATCCTCGATAGTTCTCCAATAAAATACTCTTTTAATTTGGGATTTTCACATAGGGCATTGAAGTCTCCGGGTAGACCATTCTGCACAGCCCACTTCTCAACTGCTGTCTGGTTTGGATTAATAACAGCAACAAGGCAAGACTCAAAGCTGTTCCCATATATCCATATCTGCAATATAAAGAATTAAAAGCACCATGAAGAACATACAACAGCAGATTTACTAATATGAGAAGTTAAACTTGCATTAGATAATGCTTCCAATTTAAGATCCATCAGAATTCACATTCTGGAAGTTATATATTCAGAGAGGATAAGTGAACTGCATTACTGCATTGTTATTATACGACTTCCAGGTTGAAAGTACAGCACTCTTGTGTTAAAGGAATAGCTTGGAACTAATCCAACTTTCATTTTTTGCAAAGGTCATTAGCTTGATGTCATAATAGACTCCTTAATACGAATATAGTATTGCATACCGAGTCAATATCAGGGACTAGGCCATAGATATTTTCTAAGTTCTCCACAGCAACATACTCTCCTTGTGAAAGTTTAAAGATGTTTTTCTTACGATCGACTATTTTCAAGCTTCCATCTGGTTGCCATTCACCAATATCCCCTAACAAAAAAAAAAAAGTTCCACGAATATTAGGAGAGTATTATAACGTAATCGACTTAAAAATATTTGCATATGGCCACTGACAAAGCAACCTGTATGAAACCAGCCGTCAACAAAGACTTCTTTTGTAAGGTCTTCACGTTTGTAGTAGCCTGCAAATAAAGTATCCCCCCTTACACATACTTCTCCACGTGGTGTACTTGAAAGGGCATCATATCCCATTTCTGGAACAGATTCCAAGCAAACATCCACATTCGGGACTGGGGGTCCCACAGTTCCCAGCATGTTTATCTCATCCGGTATAGAAACGAATGTACCGGCACAAGTTTCCGTTAAGCCTATATACACAAGAACGAGAAGCCAGTCAAGAAAACAAGTTCTGGTGCATATTATAAATGGTCAACCCTATGATCATGGGTCATTTTAATCTTCAGATTTTGGAAACCAGGTTAAATATTGATCGTTACTAGTTATTGAGAATATGTAGCATTATTTCTTTCTAATGCACATAACAGTAAATCATTAATTTGTCACATAGATGCATGAAAGTTTCAGCATACATCTTAATAGACGAAGGAGGCCCTATAACAGTTGATTACTACACAAGCCAACGCATATGCTCCAGAACAGACAGGGAAAGGTACTAAAATCAAAATAGATAAAAAGAAGAGGTAAAGAAATCATATTGGTGGTTAAAGATCTAATTAGAGAATGGAAAAACACCGTATCCTTGAAGAACATGAGAACATGACACGACTCTCAGAAACTCTTCCACATGGGGTGCAAGAGGTGCTGCTCCAGATAAAATAATTCTGACATTGCCTCCTAAACCTTGTTTCACCTAAAAGAGGAGCAGCCGTCACACTTCCATGAAAAAATCTGGCATAGAGATAATATATAAATAAGGTAGAAAAATCCAAATCAAAATAGTGAAAATCACCTTACTGAAAACAACTTTGTCAGAGAGTGGAGATGCTTCTGTGTGTTTATATCCATTCCTCATATTACGCAGTTTTCTGGGGAAGACAAGTCAAAGTATAAAGAATAGGTCATCGAACTATAAAACTGCAAATAACATGCCCTGCCAAGCAAAGGAGGCCCTATAACAGTAGACTACTACACTTTCGCAGAGTTGGCTTGTGAATAATATAGCAAAATGCCAAGATAGTTTCTTCAATAATGTATGAGCTGAAATTTTGTTCTCTTGATATTGGACTTCCATACCGTTTCAGAGTTGGTTTGTAAATAATATAGCAAAATGCCATGATTGTTTGTTTAACAAGGTATGTGTTGAAAGTTTGTTCTTTTGAGAGCTCAAGAATCCAAGAACAGGCAGGAAATATACACCATCCATCAAATTCAGAAATTCACACTCTGAACTTCCATTTATTAATTTTCATCCAGAAATAATAAGGCATAAAAGACTAGGAACTTACAAAGAATAAGCCAGGTTGAACATGGTATTTTGTATGAAACCACCCACAGCAATCTTTTGTTGCAAACCTGAATAAGAAAATGTAAATCAGAACATAATCACCATTAAATAAGGTCAAAGTAGAATAGAATAAAAATACACCAGTTTATCTCATCAGGCAACCCATCCTTCTCTCCAGTCCAAAACTCTAATAGCTTATCAAGATGATAAAAGATTTAAGAATGTTTTGCACGTGGGCATCAGAGATCCCCAAATGTAGTAAATTTGCAACTAGCCAGCAGTTTACAAATACATGGACAGGACATTGTGTCTCAATTTATAGTTCAACAGAATGTGCTATCTGATGCGGAAAAAATTTGATCTATAAGGACAACACACTTCGTATTGTTTCACACACCCATCTCAAAAAGGATGAACAATCTAACAATATGTAAGTTATGGAAAGATGGACACCAACCTGAATAAATTCTATCTAGTACCCGAGGAACTGCACAGAAAATTGTGGGTTTAAGGAGTCCAATATCTTCTACCAACAACTTAACATCCTACAAGGATGAAAATAGCATATTATATCAACTGTGTTTACAATCTATAATGACAAAGAAAACAACTGAAAACAACTGAAATCTTCTTACCCCTCTCCAAAATCCAATAGAGCCCCCATTATTGATCAGACACTCTTCAATGGCACGATCAAAGATGTGCGCTAAAGGAAGATATGAGAGATACACATCATTGACGGATAACTGAAAAAAAAAAAAAATTAACAGGAATGAAACAAAAAAACTAAAACCATTAACCTTTCAATTTATTGTTTAGCAACTTCAATAGTTTAGATCAAGAAATAAATTTTCAAATTTTTAAATAGTACAAGTAACTAGCATTCAGTATACAAAGAGAAGATAATCAAGCAAATATATAATCACCGATTCATTCACACTCTCTAGCAGACGATTTACTCCAGCTATAAAAGAAACAATGGTATTGTTGGAAATCATGACTCCCTTGGGATCGCCAGTAGTGCCACTGGTATACATAATTGTACAAATGTCCGTTCTCTTTTTCACAGGAAGCTCATGATGCTTGTTTTCTCCCTGCATAATAAGAAGGTCAGCGAAGGAAGGAATACGTAAGATACTTCATTTAGAAAGATGAGACGAACAGCAGATAATTGTGTTGACTGTTTAAGTTAACATCAAACTTGAATATTCTTACAGACTAAGCCTTTAATGCAAGCATTAAAGCTCCCGATACTCAGGACATTCAAATATTCGATACAGTGCCCATACGTATGAGTCAATTGAATCAAATCTAGTGAGTTTGCATCAAGTTCATTCCATTTTACACTTCTATAATATAACTACATATAAAACAATGCCAGTGAATAAACTAAAGTATGAAATATATATAGTTAACATTACCTAACCCTTTATAGAAGGGAACAAAATTATAAGGTGCAACATCGAAACAACAATTGGAAGGAACGGCCCAAGCATCATATATGTTACATAAAAGGTAGCTAGCTGTATGTTTCTTTATCAAAAACCTTCTATATATATTAACTTGACAGAAAATAATATTGGGTGAGCTACTTGACAAATAGTTTTCAGAAAATTCAGCCGACTCAACAGCTCAAGTAGGATACTTTATGTAAAAAGAGTTCTAGTAAAACAGAACCATGAATATGTGAAAATATCAAATTAGAACATCGGCATAGAACATCGGTATGAGCCAACAACAATCAAAACCAAATTGGTATTTAGTTAACAAAGACCATGGGAGGGGCAAAGGGAAATATCACAGTGCTGTGCAAATCATACAAGAAAGATATAAAATACCAAAATCGAGAGGCTTACCAATGACAGAAACTCATCCCAAGAATGAATAGGCACACCAAAATTTTCAGCTTCAGCCTTCTGCTGAGAACTAACCTTCCCAAAGCTCACAATTGCTGAAAAGCAAGCAGCACACAATCACCGTTAACAATAACAAACAAGATAAAATGATAAGGAAAACTGACTATGAAAGGTAATTACTTTTCAAGTACTTAGCTGCAGTCGGAAATGTTTTCAAAAGCTGAGAATCAGAGGTGGATGTTAGAATCAATCAATTATCTCCAAACACCAGTTCCATTATCAAAATATCTACTACACAAATACATTTCCACCAAGTCCACAAATCAGGATCTAAACTTGTACTGCTGTACGCTTGTATAGTTACAGTAGAAGTGTCATATAAAAATACATTCAAGTCAGTGCAATGTACAGTCAAGTCAACTTATATTACCATGATTTATCCTTATGCATACAAAATTGTTAAGAACTTCCATAATACACATCAAAGGACAAAAATTTCCTAGAATTAAATAATTGCACCTCTGAGATTTTTTTCTCTTCTACAAAAGCAAGTTCAACTTCAGCATGGCAAATGATGAATTCAATAGCCCCAGCACCTGAACCACCAAACAAGTACCAAGTCTCAGAGAATATTAATAGCTGTTAAACTAACACTAAAGGAGTGATACATACCTAAAGTGTCATATAACGGGACACAATAGAGTCCATGAGCATTACACGCCTGCATCGAATAGTTAAATTCCAGGGTCAACTTGACCTTTTATATATATAGCTTATTGACAGCAGTTTATATCAATCTTCAAGGCCGCAAAATACATGAATGGGGGAAAAACAAGAAAGAGAAAATAGAAGGTTTAGTTTTGTCTTTTTGTTGGAACAGAAGGTTCTCTCATCCAGAAGCCCTTTTGCTGCAAAGAATTTTACCTATATTTTACAAGCTTTCGGTAACACAGATGGAGCATGGGGACAGAAATATAACTATTGGAAGGCTACAAGAATAAACTGATATCATAAGATGGCCAAACCTAATTATTATAACCATGAATGAGGTCACCTTCACCTAATGCTATTATTCGGCTTCATATCATGAAATATCTTTAATCAATCTACATAGCTAGGTCGACATCCAGACCAAAAAGAGAAGATTTATGACCACAATAAACAATTCCATCTTATTTTGTAGTACATTTGACTTTCAACTTCTTTCGAATAATATTAGTCAATTGGACATTAGAGAGGAGTTCAATGTGCTAAAGAGAGAACAGCTGAAGTTATTTGCATTTCAATAAAACATATATTGACTGACTAAAATATGCAAATAATAGAACAGTTAATCAAAAGTAGTTAAGGCCTTCAGAATTTCTTTGAAATTGGATCATAAAAGTCTTAAATTTTTATCGGATATGGTTAATTAAGACCAGAAAATTCCACAGAGTCCTGTAGATATCGTATGAGAGTACATGCTAAAGGAGGGGAGGGGAAATAAAATTGTTTGAAGTACGGAGTACCTCCATACTCATAATCCACTCAGGAGAATTAGCACCATATATACCACATCGTCCTCCCTGAAATTATTAGTTAGATTGTGTAAGGTATAAAAACCATCATACAACCAGATAAAAATATGCGTAAACACTTAAACAGGCAAGCGGAAATCAAATGATAAGATTTTAAGGACATTGGTACAGATTAATGGCAAAGAATTAGCAACATATAAAAACCAAGAAAAGAACAAGGAAGACAAGACATCACAAAGAGATACGTATTTACAATAATTAACAACCATAACAAATTTCAACATGCTAATCAATAATCAACATCAATTGACGTATCAATCAAAAGCATAAAGTGATAAAACTCTAAGTAAGTCACCACGTGTATGACAAAATTTGTAAGATCATACAAGAAAAATCTAGCCGAGACTTAGCATTGAAAATTACTTTTATTGATCGAAGTAAAAACTGTCACAAAAAACAAGATTTTTTTTCAAGTCTGGCGATGCTTACTTTATCAATGCCACAACAACGGATGGAGTTACCAACTTTCAGCACCATGTCGTACACTTCTTTGTAAGTCATCCATATATATTTGTCGGGCTGATGATGCAGATCAGACAAAAAGTTACCAGAAAAAAAAAAAAAAGGAAATTGTAAAGCATCGGAAGTGTTTGCATTAGCTTCCAATTATCACACAAAAACAATATACCTTCCCATTGACAACTTGAAGACGACCAAGCATCTGGTTGTTGGGATACTTCTCTACTGACAAACTGTGCCACAACCAAAGTATGCTTCAATTTTATAAACATTGAGAACTAAGATACAAACGAAAAAATTATGAAAAATTTGAGAAGATAATCTGTATGCACGAAAGCTGATGCATCTCCAGTAGCTAGGGTATCTATAATAATTATTTTTTTGTTAACAAACTTAATTATCTAATATATATAATTAAAATAATGCCAATTGAAATCATCTTTTAACTTACTAGCTGTGAACAACAACAACAACAACAATCTTAATAAACTGTACATTTATTCTATCAGCATGATGGTTTCAAATATCAAAGGTTAGTAATATTCTCAGAATCATCTGCATCTGGTTGCGGGTGTTTTGCTGTTAGTCGCTGATATAGGTACCAATCCATATAAATTCAATTCTGTCAGTTAACGGTAAAACAACAAAATAAATAAAAAAATGAATAATCAGAGCTTCTTCTACTTCCTCTTCTTCCTTAAAATCATCATCACTCTACCGTTGCATCCATTTGAAAAATGAAGAGATAAGCTTGCATGACAAGAACACAAAAGAGACATATGTCAAAACACTTAAAAGGGGTAAGTGATTCAAATTGTACATTTCAAGAGGAAGGAAAAAGAAAACAGAATCATACAAAAGCCTACTACAAATAGGCAAATTTAGCTCCACCAAACTGACAAAAAGTATTAATAAAAATCAGAATGAGGATTCACAAACACAAATTACTTCAACCCCCACATATCACAGCCACAACAGGCGAAACAACAAGAGCAATAGAAACAGAAATCGACTTCTAATTTCCCCAACTGAAACTATATAAACAACAATAAAGCATAGGGAATCTGACCGGAAAATGTCCCAACAGCTGTCGAGCCCCGGAGTCGGCTCCGGAAAACCGTCCTTAGCAAAGCTACTCCGGTAAACCGGTCCGATCGACGGCTTCCCATCACCGGCGGGCTTCGAGGGCTCCACCTGCACGATATACTGGTGCTTCGTCATCTCCGAGCAGGTCAAAAAACTCAAATCTAATGTCCTCAGACCAAATGCGTGTGCGTATACAGAGAGTTCTTTGTGCAAAGTGCAAACAATTTTGAAGACGTTTATGCGAGGACTTGGTAGCTAGATAGGGTGGGTGAGGGTAGGGGAGCTACGGACAAGTTCAGTTTAATGTGACCAGCAAATAGTTTTGACTTGGAACTGAAAACTGACAAGAGTTCAGACTTGATTTTCAGTTTAATGTTACCCGATGATGACGGGCTATTTGTTTAAATCTATATAGAATATCCATTTACCAATTACCATAAATAGTCAGCAAGAATTCCAGTTCAGTCGAATCAATCCGGGCAATCCGGACGGTTCGAAAGTTCAGTTCGGAACATCAGTTTGAACGTGAATCGAGAATCCAAGTTTCTGAACCAGTTAGATAAGATTCAGTCAGACTAGGTCCAATCAGAATATAGTCCAGACTTAGAAATATTTTCGAGAACTTTAGTATGCTCAAAGACTATATTTTCAAAATCAGCTCGTAAATTCCTAAAATGAGTTTTAAATAATTTTAAAACTGAGTAAGCGAACCTAGTCGGATCAGATAATAAGATTCGAGTTTTTTAGTTTGAGCTAAGTACTTAGAATATATATTGTGCTTATACATTTTGTAGCTTGTGGGGAGTTGAGCATCCGACAGTTGCAATCCATTCAGCACTTGCACTTCAGCATATCAGGTGGGGACCCTGTACTGGGTACTACATTTCTATAATCGCAATATCCTGGCTGAGGTATGTATGTAAGACTTAGTTTGCCCGAATAGGGGCAATAACCTAGCGAGTAGGTCCTTTCTAGCTAAGTGAACCGAACGCTAGTTAAGATGAGATAAACTCTACTGCAGCTTTGAGTTAAGTGAATTAAAAACCTTAGAACAGTTTTGAGTTAAACTGAAATTTCAGATGAGGTTAGAATATTTATTACCTAAGGGGTAACGACCTAGAGATCGGTCCTTTTGTATCCAAGTGTCCTTTTCGTAAGTTGAGCAGCAGTTATAGTCAGTTAGTCGAGCAACAATTATAGTCAGTCAGTCGAGCATCAGTTATAGTCAGTCAGTCGAGTAGTAGTTATAGACAGTCAATTAAGTAGCAGCTATATATGGTTTACTTATTCATGTATTTATTGGAGGTATGTTTAATTCACGATCCGTTAGTAAAATATTTATCATCGTATCATTTCTGCCAATTCAGTAAGTATTTGCATATATGCCGATGTCCTGATATGTTATTATATTAATTGTATATTCAGTGCCGGTTCCAGCGGAGCATCGTTGATTCATTTATGCTCACGCCTCCCCACTAACCATTTTTCAAGTGACGGTGTCGAGCGTGGAGCGTGAGCCGATGAGTGGTGGTGGTCATAGCAAGAATATTTTGTGTAAACATGTCATGTATATTTGAAAATGTTTGAAGCATTATGTTTTGTTGACGCATGCTTACATTTGCTTCCTCACCCCGTATTCAGATTTCAGTTTATGCATGCTTAAATCCTCAGATTTTCATAGCGCCTAGAGAGTAAAGAATTATCCTCAGTTGCATGCGTAATAGTTAAATGAGATTAAAGATTAAAGAGATAGATTAAAGTTGAGTAGCATCCCGCAGTTAGATTAAAAGTATTTTTAAAAAAGTTAAATTGAGTTTTTGGAAATTAAATCAGTGTTTTTCATTTGTAGCGCGAAAAATTTACTCTGATTTTAGTAAGTTTAGGCGAGGTGTTACATAATTTAATTTAAGAGACAAATCCTGGTTGTTAGATTAAAAGATGGTCCAACAACTAAGCGATGGTCTCACGTACATACTTTAAATAAGTGTACTTATTGGAACCAATTTCCATACACACACACACACATATATTATAATGGTCATGAGAAAAGTAAAAACTCATGACTGGTTTTACTCAGAATAATGAAAAATAAAATAATAAATAAATAAATCCAACCATTGTTCAATTTTAACTCAAGAACAAGTGTAATCTCTAAGTTTACTATGCTTCACTGATAATAGAACTTGTACACCGGACCGTGTATTAAAAAATTACTAAATGCATGCCCCAAATGAACTTCTGCATCCAACATCTCTTTTAAGTTGACGTTCCAATATCTTCTTGTCATTTCTCCCCAAGAACATATAACAATTTGGATTATCAAGAAAAGAAAGACGAGGAACCCTGAAATTGAAAGAAATATAACAATTTGGATTATCAAGAAAATGATTTTTTCAGACAATCCACCAACCTTTTTTGGTTTTGTTCCCAAAGCCTCACCCAATTTATATCATTCTTGATATCCTCTTGGTTAGCTTCTTTGGATAATCCCGAATCCTCTTATGCAACAAGTACACGAAATCAAATTGTTGGTACGTACACAAAAGAAAGCAGCTGAATTACTTATCTTCATACATAAAGGTACTAGATTACTTTGTAGAAAAGATTGAAAATCATAATGCATCTCCTGTTGTTTTTTATTTTATTTTTTTGATATATTAATTTTTTTTTGTTTATTTCTCTTTTATTAGTATTCTGAGATAAACAATCAAGCTCCATGAAGCATTACAATTCGAGCGTTGTATAAAAGTCAACAAAGTATCCTATCAGACAATTTATAAATTCCAATATATACACAAAATGTATATAAAAAAATGACAAAATGAACACATAGTGTGGCCAAATCACAACCTATATTCGTGGATGAACAAGTATCGACAGTGAAGACGAGCAAGGGGGCGTGCTCTCAGGCAATTTCCTACACAAGGGACAACTCCCATTGAGCTTGAGCCACTCGTCTATGCATTCCACGTGAAAATAATGGTTGCACTCGGGAATACTTCTTAGTGTCTCCTTAGGCTGATAATCAGACAGACAAATCGGGCATGTGCCATCGCTTGGTTTCGGGAGCCGACGACTCTCCCCAAGAACCGTGGTTGGATATGACTCGATTGTGGGCCAGTCGAGCCCATTAACCGACCTAATGGTGGGCCGTTGATCGGAAAATGTGTTGGGTAGGTCAGAGTTCAATTGTCGCCGGAGGGTGGAAGCCCGGACAATGCCGCAAGCGTAACATGCTAGTCCAATTATGCACACTATCCCGGGTATTCCAACTCCGACTATGATGCCATATTTGGCACCTCTAGAAAGGCCTATATGAACATAACATGTTATGTTAGATTTGTGCAATTATTGATTTGAGTAACATAGTATGTTCGATTTGTTCAATTATTTCGATTTATAGAAACGATGGATGAGGAATATAAAAACACAATTTTCTTTTTGTTTGAACCAAAATTTATCTCATTAGACTAAATAAAAGAACAATCACGGCAATAAAATGATGAATTCTAATGTAAATATATTTCAATAGAATTCCAACTATAATTTCAATGAATACTCAAATGCTATTATTTCCATTGGAATTGTTCAATTGATTCAATTGGAAATTTCAGCCAATATATTTAGCTGGAATAAGGTTTTCATTGGAATTTTCGTTGGAATTTTCTAATGGTTTTCAACTGTTGAAATATGGGTGAAAATAAAAATTCTAACAAAATTTGTATGTTCCAATAGAAATTTTTATGGTAAAAAATCGATGGAAAAATAACAGTTTGAACCATTAAATTTCATTTAAAATTCTAATGAAAAACTCATTCCAACAAAATATTTACTTTAGTTGAAATAATTCTAACGAAAGCTATACCACTAAAGCATTTGGAATTTCTATTGAAATATAATCTTTTGTAGTTATTTAATCATCTCATTTTCACTATAACACAATTAAAAAATAAAATTGTACTCAACAAAAACATTATTTATTCACTCATAACTATCAATCTTATGGATTAATGTTTTATTATTTTTCTATCAAATCAACTTCAAACATATTAACTCAAATATATCTCATTTTTTAGAAACAACTTTTGTTTCATCTTTTTTATCACACTTTTTTCTAGACGAGACATTATTTTAAAAAATAAAAATAAACACACCTGATTAATTCTCCGAATGTAATTAGTTAAATAAGTAAATGAAATAAAACGTATAACAAGAGGCCAAACATGGTTTGCCAGTCTACTCGGGCCACTAAACTGGTCAAGATATTAGGTAATTCAAATCGAAAGTCATTGTTTATGCTAAAGGTGAAATAAAATAGCCGGCTGATAGTATAATCTTCGTTTACACTACAATTAATACACGCGGCTCTCTTTAAATATCTATATCTACGTGCCTCAACAATCAAATGTTGCCACGAACGGAGATCAATTTTTAGATTTAAAGAGACTTGACCAATTCGAACACAATTCATGCAGATGCGGGCCCAACTAGGTCCACTTCACATCAGAGTCGCTTTCTACTCCAAAGTAGTTCATCTTAGTCATCACAAAACACTCGATTTTATTGAGTTAAAACTTTCAATTTGCTATTGTAGTTTGTATTTACCACTGTTTTTAACTTGCTATTGTAGTTTATATTTTGTATTTTATGCCCAACATTTCCCTCACAAGACATGCACTAAACAAATTAAATTAACATAAAGGATTAAATAATCAAATCTTGTAACTTAAATTAAATTTGCTAGACATATTAGAAGCTTCAACTTGTACGCATTTCTACAATTATAACCTCATTAACAAGATAGGCCGGAAAGTGTTCCGAAACAAAGTAGGGAGAAATTATATACAAGAAAATGATATTAAATAAGCAATCTTACAATTTAAATTAAATTTGATGACACACATTAGAAGCTTCATCTCCTGACCTGTGCTTTTCTACGATTACCGTTACCTCATTAGCACTAAAAGTGTTCCGTAAACAAAGTTAGGAGAAATTTATACACAAGAAAATGATACTTACTAAGCCAATATATTCACTAACACGAGTATCAAAAAATCCATGTTCAAATCTCGATGTCTCGATGACAATGAAATTTAAAGACCTTAAAATTTCCAAGAAAATCAAATAGAAAAACACACAGATAAAAAGATAACCAAAAAAAAAAANAACCAAAACAATTAAAAAAACTCACCTCCTGATCTAGCGGGCCTGAAGCACCCAATCTCCGGGCCCGTATCCCCCCTGAGCCCGCAAACCCCACCCTCACTCTCACACGTCCAGCATTCGGGCTGGCTCCAAACCAGCTCCAGATCATCCATCAGATCCATCGACGACCAGTAGAACGGCGACACCGTCCACTGCATCGGCACCAAGGCAGTGGCAATTTTCCGGCAACCCGGCGGCACCTCCGCTGACGCCGCCGGCAATCGCGAATTCACGGCCACCACCGTAAAATTCCTCCCGCTGAGGCAGAGCAGGGGCATGAATCGGGCCGGGCTGTAGTCGGACGAGCAGTTGAGGAAAGTGAAATTCCGGGTGTTGATGCCCCGGAAGCGCGAGCCCGATAGGCTGAAGTTGAGGATTCGGGCAGGGAGGCACGAATCCGGGTCGTTGATGAACAGGGCTTGGGCAGAGTAGTCTATGTGGTCCACCACGAAGTCGCCGGACTCCGGGAGGTTGAGGATCGTCTGGTTGTCGCTGTTGCAGTAAAGGTCGAAGCCCGGGTACCCGCGCCGGCCGGAGGACCGGTCAGCCAACCGGAAAGGGAAGCGGATTTCGGGCCCGATGGATGGGTCGCAGTAATCGGGCCGCGGTGGGTTGGTGCATAGAGCTGGGATTGTGAAGAAGAGTATGAGGATTATAGGTGATTTTGTGTCCATTTTGTTTTTGTGAAATTTTTTTCTTCCTTGGATTTGGGAGTGATTTATTTGAGTTGAAGTTCTTACATGAGGAGCTAGCTAGTTAGCTAAATTTTGAGGTGGGGTTGACTCAGGGTGGGTGGGTTTATTTTGTTCAAATGGGACAAGAACTTTCACTATTGACACTAATTGGTGTATTCATGGTTTGATTAGGATGAAATAAGAGAGGTTATTTGATATTCAAAACACAGGGATTCGCCAAAAAATAAATAAATAAATGTGATCTTGGATGGTATTGAAGAAAAAAGGTATAGGTTATATATGTATTTGAAATATTCTGCTTGAAAAGTAGTTTGGACATACAGGTAGTTGGAATTTTTGACAAAAAACTGAAAAACATTTAGTAAACAATTGATTAAGGCTATGTTTGGTAAGCCAAATAAGCTAGCTTATAGCTTATTTGGTTAGCTTATAAGCTTCCTGTATTCAAAAAAGTCTCGTTTGGTAAGGTGAGTTTTTTTAAAAAGCTCGAGCTTATTTGATAAGCTTCTTTAGGTAGTTTTTCAAATAAGCTAGTTGAATTTTTTATTCCAATTAGCTTATCAGCTAATTTTACCAAACACTTTTATCATATAAGCTAGCTTTTCAGCTATAGGTCATAAGCTATAAGCTAAAAAATTATTGATAAGCTATAAGCTAGCTTATCATAGCTAGCTTATCAGCTAGTTTTACCAAACATAGCGTAAAACTGGGCATGTTAGTGAATCAAATCTTTTTTATTTTAACACTGCATATAAATACATGGAAGTTTTATTATTATTATTATTATTATTATTATTATTATTATTATTATTATTATTATTATTATTATTATTACCACCAACTAATAATTTAAGTTTGCATATAAATACACGGACACTTGTGTAACATCTTTTGCAAATTTCTATACCAACTAATAAATAGTATTAGTTTATCCACGATCTCATGCGAATTTGAACAGCGTGACAATATCATCCGGTCATCCAATCGTTGGAGTTTGTCGCTCTCTAAAGATCCAACAACATGGAAATAAAGAGATGCGAGGGTTGTGAGGTTGTAAAATGTTATTAATAATTTATGTGCAGGACGAATTTGAATATTTTGAATTTCAATTTAAAACTTTGTGGTGTTTTGTTTAGTTATGAGTTCTCAATTTGTTCTTATGGTAATCGAATTACTAGATCACATGAAAAAACAATAAAACTACTTCTAAGGGTGGCCAATTAAATAATATGGTATTTAAAATTATGATAATTCATAGTAATATTTTAGAATTGTCCATTGCAAATGGAGCTGGAAGAGTCATTGTTGACAATTCTCCTAGCATAATGCTAATATGGACTAGATCAAAATAGTTCAATTAATTCTAGTGCTTCTTCAATTAAATAGAAGTTTCTAGAAAAAAAAAAATATCAAACGGCGCAATGCACCTTGGGTCGCTACCGAAACAGCCTCCTTGTATAATTACAAGGGTAAGGTCTGCGTACAACTGACCCCCTAGACCCCAACCCGTTGGGAATATACTGGGTATGTTGTTGTTATTGCATAGTAATATTTTAGAAGGATATAATAATAATGATAATAATAATAATAATAATAATAATAATAATAATAATAATTTATAAGTTAAAATTAAATGGAAGTCCACAATACATATAGGACAGTAAAAAGAATGATTAATTATTGGATTGCATACCAAGTAATCTACTCTATAAAGTTGGTTATTTTATAGATAATGATAATGGATTAAATGAATATTTCTGAAACCTAAATAATACAGGAATCGGCGGGATTAATACAACTCCTACTATCGCATAGCCAATAGGATTTCTGCTACTACTATATATATATACCCACACTCTCGAGACGAAGACGATCCATAACATATCATATCATATCATACATATCTCTCAAGTAGCAAATAATTTCACAATACACAAACACAAATATAAATGGGTAGTATTCATCATCATCATATCATCATCTGAAGGCTAAGAAGGCTGGTGTCTTGTGATTTGATATACTACCCATTTGTATTTGTGTTTGTGTATCGTGAAATTATTTGCTATTTGAGAGATATGTATAATATGATATAATATGTTATGGAACATCTTCGTATCCTATTGCCTAATGTCAATGGATGGTAGGAGTTGTATTAATCCCGCCTATTTCTGGATTAATTAGGTTTCATAAATATTCATTTAATCCATTATCATTATCTATTAAATAACTAACTTATTACTTGGTATGCAATCCATTAATTAACCATTCTTTTTACTGGTATTGTCGACTTCCATTTAATTTTAACTTATGAATATTATTATTATTATTATTATTACTATTATTATTATTATATCCTTCTAAAATTTTACTATGAATTATCATAATTTTAAATACCATATTATTTAATTCAATTTTAAATAACATATACAAATGAATCCCAAAAAAAAATGAATCTTCCATAAAGATTGTATGTGCCAACATTCTTTTGTATGTGTCTGTATATTAGTTTATCCACGATCTCATGCGAATTTGAACAGCGTGACAATATCATCCCGTCATCCAATCGTTGGAGTTTGTCGCTCTCTAAAGATCCAACAACATGGAAATAAAGAGATGCGAGGGTTGTGAGGTTGTAAAATGTTATTAAGAATTTATGTGCAGGACGAATTTGAATATTTTGAATTTCAATTTAAAACTTTGGTGTGTTTTGTTTAGTTATGAGTTCTCAATTTGTTCTTATGGTAATCGAATTACTAGATCACATAAAAAAACAATAAAACTACTTCTAAGGGTAGCCAATTAAATAATATGGTATTTAAAATGGGTTTAATGCACCAAACCCCCCTGTATTATACGAAATTTGCGCGTTTCTCGCCTGTATTTTAAAAATTGTGTCAGACCCCTTTCTATTAAGGTTTTGTATGCGCGAAACACCCAAAATTTAGACGTTTTAGGGTGTTTCGCGCATACAAAACATTAATAGAAGGGGGTCTGATGCAATTTTTAAAATACAGGGGGGAAACGCGCAGATTTCGTATAATACAAGGGGGTACTGTATATTTTACCCTATTTAAAATTATGATAATTCATAGTAATATTTTAGAATTGTCCATTGCAAATGGAGCTGGAAGAGTCATTGTTGACAATTCTCCTGGCATAGTGCTAATATGGACTAGATCAAAATGATTCAATTAATTCTAGTGCTTCTTCTATTAAATAGAAGTTTCTAGAAAAAAAATATATCAAACGGCGCAATGCATCTTGGGTCGCTATCAAAACAGCCTCCTTGTATAATTACAAGGGTAAGGTCTGCGTACAACTGGCCCCCTAGACCCCAACCCGTTGGGAATATACTGGGTATGTTGTTGTTATTGCATAGTAATATTTTAGAAGGTAATAATAATAATAATAATAATAATAATAATAATAATAATAATTTATAAGTTAAAATTAAATGGAAGTCCACAATACATATAGGACAGTACAAAGAATGGTTAATTAATGGATTGCATACCAAGTAATCTACTCTATAAAGTTGGTTATTTTATAGATAATGACAATAGATTAAATGAATATTTCTGAAACCTAAATAATACAGGAATAGGCGGGATTAATACAACTCCTAGCATAGGCAATAGGATTTCTGCTACTACTATATATAAATACCCACACCCTCGAGACCAAGACGATCCATAACATATCATATCATATCATACATATCTCTCAAGTTGCAAATAATTTCACAATACACAAACACAAATACAAATGGGTAGTATTCATCATCATCATATCATAAGGCTAAGAAGGCTGGTGTCTTGTGATTTGATCCCGGAGGTGAAGGGATAAGGAGATATTATCATCAAATCTAATCAAATCACAAGACACCAGCCTTCTTAGCCTTCAGATGATGATGAATACTACCCATTTATATTTGTGTTTGTGTATCGTGAAATTATTTGCTTTATGTATAATATGATATAATATGTTATGGAACATCTTCGTCTCGAGGGTGGGGTATATATATATATATATATATATATATATATCGTAGTAGCAAAAATCCTATTGCCTAATGTCAATGGATAGTAGGAGTTGTATTAATCCCGCCTATTCCTGGATTAATTAGGTTTCATAAATATTCATTTAATCCATTATCATTATCTATTAAATAACTAACTTATTACTTGGTATGCAATCCATTAATTAACCATTCTTTTTATTGGTATTGTCGACTTCCATTTAATTTTAACTTATAAATTATATTATTATTATTATTATTACTATTATTATTATTATATCCTTCTAAAATTTTACTATGAATTATCATAATTTTAAATACCATATTATTTAATTCAATTTTAAATAACATATACAAATGAATCCCAAAAAAACAATGAATCTTCCATAAAGATTGTATGTGCCAACATTCATTTGTATGTGTATGTATATGTGTTTTGCATCATATGATTTTGCTTCTTTGGTTTTTCATTTTCATGTTGGCCAAAAATGTTGAGTTCATGTAAGCTAAATTAGCTTGAATTTAGGCTTCGAAGGAGATTCATCGAACATTGGTTGGTAATAATGAGATTGTATAGAATTTTGCAAACGAGAGTCTGTGTATTTATATGCAAACTTAAATCATTAGTTGGTACTTAGAGATGTTATCGTACCGAGCTGTTCGCGAACAAAGCTCGTTCGTGTTCGATAACAACTCGTTCGTTTAGCAATCGAATCGAACTTGAACATAAAATTATGTTCATATAGTTGTCGAACGAACACAAACAAGTTTGCAAACTAAGCAAGCGTTCGCAAACAAAAAAAGTATTTTATAATTTTATATATTATATATTAGGATTTTAAGTCTAGTTTCAAAATTGACTAACATATTACAAATGAATCCCAAAACACAATGAATCTTTCATAAAGATTGTATGTGCCAACATTCTTTTGTATGTGTATGTGTATGTATATGTATATTA